CAGGGAGCTACGCTTGCCAGCACTGTGCCCCACTGCCAAATCAATGGCGCAGGCATCCGGCCCGGGGAGAGCAGCAATGGCCCCCACCCCCGCCAGAGGAGCTTCGAGATCCTTGCAGGCGTTCTGCAGCGCTTTGCAGTCTGTTTTGCTGGCCATCCTGATGCCAAAGCCTCTGCGTTTTCACAGCAGAGCTGGAAAAGAGAAACCGCTCTGCAGATTTTGCCATTCCTTCGGTCCCTTGGATGAATTTCCCTCCGACTGCCTGGAAATGAGTGGGGATTGCTGTCCCCTGCGCAAAGGAAGAGAAGCCAGGGCCTCGCAGAGGAACGTCGCAATGAGAGAGAAAGAAGCACTGCGCCGTCACTCGCATGGTGACGGTCCCGGGCCAGGCGCAAGTCCCTCTGGATTCTAGCGTGAGACCCCACGGAATGCCGCACCTGCCGCAGGGCAATGGAACTCCTGTGCTGTGCACTCTGTGAGGAGGGCTTGGCCAGAGCAGCCACCTGGACGGGTCAACGAAACTGAGCCAGAGTGCAACGCCCCCCATGGGAAGTGGGGCCACAATTGCAGGTTGATGGGCCCTGGAGTTGTTTCGGCAGAGGGGGACCCATCTCATGGTGGACGAAGCTTTTCTCCCTCAGCTGCAGAAAAACGGGGCTGGAGGTCATGCTGCTCTACTGTGCCTTCATCTAAGGGGCGCTTTTCTTGCTTTCCGGTTTTTTTTAACTATCTTGCTTTGATGAGAAAAGCAAACTGAGGAGCAATTCTGTGCATATTTAGACAGAAAAGGATCTAGCAATTCGCAGCATGCAGGATTACCCATAAATGCAATGGATGCAAGGCCAGAAAAGGGGCAAAAATGGGCGGAGCCAGTTTCTGGCCATTGCAGGCCCATAGCAGGGTTTCCGGGAAGCCATGCCCGAACCGTGGCTAAAGGTCCCCTTTCCCCAGAGCACCATGAAACGGCTGAGAGGGCAAAAAGGCAGACAAGGTGAATGCACCCCCCGCCTCCTCACACCTCCAATCCAATTTGCCACCCATAGATCCGGTGTTGAATAGGTGCGGGGGGGGCGGGTTCAGCTCGGCCCCAGCAGGCGGGACTTTTGAAACAGCCAGGCGAGTTTCTCAAAAGGGCCAAAAAGCACCATTTGTCCAACCTGTGTTCAGACGACGGCAGAAGCAGGCCTTCTCCAACTCTGCAACCATCGCTCATTCACCCGTAGCCCAAACGTACTTCTGGGCAGCCTTCCAAAACCTGTGCCTGAGGGGGCTGCCCACGAACAGGCACGCCTGCCACCCCTGTGATCCGCACTCTGTGTCACATCGTGGGAGGGACACGGCCGGGACCGGCCCGAGGCATTTTCCGTGGCAAGACGATGCCAAGCACAGCCAGGCGGTTGCGCCCTTGGATGTCTCGGGACGGGTGCTGCACAAGCCCGAGGTCTCTGCAGTTCTCCTTCCAGGGTGGGAGGAAGGAGTCCAGCTAACACAGAAGGCATCTAAGCGTGATGGTCAATGGAGATGTCCCTACGGAAAGCCAGCTCCGGCACCTTGTTCTCCCTGCTTGCCAGGCCTGCAGAGTACAGAGCACCTTGCTGGACTTTTGCAACCCACAATAAAACTTCGGGTAGTCCAGAACAGGACAGGGAGTTTGTTAACTGGAACCAGCTGATCTCTGATTTGCACTGACTTCCAGTCCACTTCCAGGCCCAATTCAAAGTGCTGATACTATCTTTGAAAGCCCTAGACTTCTTTGGGCCAGGTGACTCGGAGACATGGCTCCCTCTATGTCTCCTGGGCCCCAAGAAAACACCTAGAGGTTCTTATAGTGAAGTGAGTGGCCTTTAAGGACAGAGCCTTTTCAGTGGTGGCGCCCTGGTTGAGGAACATCCTCCCTAGAAGAGCTTGCTGGTGTCCCCATTGCTGGATTTAACACTCCCCTTTCATTCTTCCAGGAATTTTATACCTCAATTTTAGAAATTGTCTTAAGGCACAGATTATGTAAGTAAGAGCTGGGACTGGGACTCGGACGACCCGGGTTCTAGTCCCCGCTCAGCCATGGAGCCAACTGGGTGACTTTGGGCCAGTCACAGACTATCAGCCCAACCCACCTCACAGGGTTGTTGTTGTGGGGATAAGATGGAGGAGGAGAATGATGTAAGCTGCCTTGAGCCCTTTGCAGGAAAAAGGCAGGATATAAATCAAAAATAAATAAAAAATAAAATAAAAATGTAAGTTTAGATAAGAAAAGGTGCACAGAATTGCACCCCTGGTGTGTTTTTAGATCTTGATGCCACAGCTTTCATTTGGGGTGCATACTGTTGTTTTAAACTGTTGAAGGTTGGTTCATGTTGCTCTATTCTGTTCTTGCAATTTAAAACTAAAATACTATAAAATACAGCCCAGAGAGCTACAGAAATTAATAACTGAATCTAAGACCCTGTGCACTGATTCAGAAGCGGTTGAGAAAGGCTCGCTCACTGAGGGATATCACCGGCCTCGGCCTTAATCCCGGAGCGTCGAGAGTTAATGCTTCTGAATCCAGAGTGGGGGCTTGGCAAAGATATCGAGCTGAGCTGGACTGCGACTCTTTATTTGGCAGCTAATGGCCTGTTATCAAGCCATCAAAGAAGATGAAGATTTACAGCCAGGAGGTGCAAGGAAGCCCCCCAGAGCAAATTCCAGGGGGCAGCAGTGATCCCGGCCTGATAAGACCCAGAGAAACAAAGGACCGGGGCAGGAGGGAAGGGCGGCGAGGTGCCATGCGCTCTCAAAGCAGGATTCCACCCCCCGTTCACCTCCAGAAAAGGCTCCGAGAAGGAGAAATGCTGGGCCTTCTGCCTGCGCTCTCGCGCCTTGGGGGCAGCCCCGCGGAGGAGCCCAGCGCCCCGCCACCATGGGCTCAGGTTTGGCCACTGCAGGGCCGGCCCTCCCGGAAGGTGGGACGGGGCGCTGGACTCGGGCGGCAGGTCCTGGGGGGGCAGCAGTGCCCCCCTGGAGGAGGGCTGCATGCAGTGCGACGCGGGAAGGTGCGCCGTTCTCAGGGTGGGGCGCAGGGCTGGGGCTGGGGCGTGGGGGGCACGGCGCAGACCTTCTTTCGGGCAACAAAACGTCCTGGGAATGCCTGCAGCCTACGGACGCAGGCAGGGCAGTACATCTGGGGAACGGGCCGTGCAAGCAAGCTTTGCCCGTCTTGGCTAATTACATTTGCGGGGTCCGGGAGGAACCCATCCCTTCGGGGGTGGCAGCCCCCCTGAAGGAGGGCTTGTGTGACCACTCCTGGTGAAAGCTTCTCTTGGGCCGGAGAAACAAGAATGTGCGAGTGTGACTATCCCCTCCGGCTCCGGAGGCCCAGTGCTTGGGCAGGAGGCAGCCACGGGGGGCTGGACCTGCTCCACCTGCGCTTCGGCCAGGTCTGAGCCCTGGGAAGCAGGGCGCCACTTGCCTGTTCCCCTTGACCCCCAACAGTGCTGGACACCCTCAGCCACGGAATCAAAACGGACCAGGATTTGGAAGCGGGGCTGGGGCAATGGAGCCCCTCCCCTTCCACCTCGCCCTGAGAGGTCAGTTCTCGGAAAGGGCTGCGGCTCCGTGGAGGCTTCTTTCCAGAACGGCAGATTCATGCAAGAGCGGGGCAAAGCGAATGGAAGAGCGGCCCAGTGCCAAAGAGGGACGGATCCCTTGAATCGGCCTCTCCACGCTTATGGCAGAGAAGTGAGTGATGGATGCGATCGATAAACACGCAGTGCCGTGTGGCTCAGGTGCCTGCGACGAGCACCACACACTCTGCAGCACCTGCCAAGGCCCCCGGCCCCAGGCAGACCTTGCCGCTTCCCAGCCCTCTTCCCTCCTGGCAGTGACCGCACAGCCCTAACCAAGGAGCTGCTGCGAGGTGATCCAAACTGCGGGCCCTGCAAACATCGAGGCAAAGTGAGCAGGCTGGCAAATGTATCCTAGCACAGGCCTCTTCCTGGCGTTGCTCCTTCTGGCTGGCAGAGCCCGAAGACCCCGGCCACCCCACTCCGTAGGACCGCAAATGCATTTCAGCAGCCTCTCCGCAGCCACAACACGAGCAACTTGTGGTTGCTTGTTTTGGGGCAGGAGCTGAGAGGCCAAACTCTGCCCCGCGTGTCGCATCCCCGCCGCGCTCATGGGCATTCCCACAAAATCACACCACGACGCCAGCCGTGTTCCAGGAGACCCGCCTTTGCCTGACACATGCCGTGGCTGCAGCCCACCTGCCCCTGAAGCTGCAAGCAGAGGGGAAAGCGTCTGCACCAGCCTCCCCCAACCAGGGGCCCCCCACACCTCCTGGCCAGCAGCGGAGCTGGAGACGATGCAAGTCTCAGCTGGATGCGTGCGGGGAGGACCAGGGCGTGGGGAGCGGGTTCACAGCCACAGGTTCTCCCTTGCACAGCGTCCAGCCATTTGGGGGCTCGATGTATGGAAGCTGGGGGGCTGGAACGGGGCAAAGAGCTGACCCCCAAGCCCTGCACCACAGTCCAATTATGAGCCAGGGCCCTGCTGTAGATGCTCAAGAGAGGAAGAGGCTCTCCCCGCCTGGGGTCTCGCATCGCACCCGGACTGAAACTGCAACGCTTCGGAATTTTACAGTCTCAGCCGTTTACGGCCAGCCGGCGCGGCACAGTAGGGTGCTGGCCCGGGTCTGGGGGAATCCGGGTCCTAGTCCCCACCGGGCTGGGGACGCTGGCCCAGTCACAGACTCCCAGCTTCGCCTCCCTCGCAGCGTAGCCGTTGCAAGGATAAAATGGAGAGGACAACCTCCGAAGTCACCCAGCACTCCTCGCAGGAGGAACAGCGGCACGAAAATGAACTGCAACAGCAGCCGTGCGACCCTCGTCACCGGGGCCCTGCAGCACACCCACGGGGCTCTCCCCACCTCGCGGCCCGCCCGCCCCACGGCCGAGTAGCCCTCCCACTGCTGCACGCGGCCAACTGGCAGGTTTCGCGCGGCGGGGAGGGGAGGAGAGGAGACTTACTGGCCGCTTGAATCCTGGCCTTGCGGCTCACCACCAGCCCAAAGCGGTTCTGCGCCATGCAGTCGTAGTCCCCCTCGTCCGAAGACCCATCGCCCTTCAGCCTTTGGAAGCGGGAGAAGTACAGCGAGCCGTTTGTGAGCGTGAAGGAGTCCTCGCCGTCCGCCACCAGGACGCCGTTCCTCCGCCACGTGATGCTGATGGGCGGGATGCCCCCCACCTGGCAGTGAAGCGCCAGTGGCTCTTCCTGCACGGCGATGCAGTCACTGGGTTCAAGGGTGAAGGCCAGTTCTGTGGAGCGGCTCACCTCTGGAAGAGAAGCAGCAGGGAGGGCAGGTTATTCCTGGGGACCTATGCTTAGCCTTCCCCGTAAGATTTCTGAAGCCAGCCCCCTTTCCCTACATGCACCAAACCACACACAGAGTTCCACGGATGGCTCCTGGGAGCGCCAAAAGTCCACATGCAAGCTGCATAGCCCAGGACGAGACCCAGCACACAGCTGGAGACCTCGGGACCCAAGCATTCTGACACCACAAGTCGCTAGTCCTTACTCCTGGGGGCAAACCTGAAACCATCTGGACAATTTTGGCAAATATCTGAAGTTGGAGTGGAACTGGTTGGAACGTCTTGGAAAAGGCAAGACTGTAAACGTGAGCTCTTCTGCGGAGACCATCGTGGGAGAAGCAGGGCTCCTGGATAACAGTGTCAGTTTGGGGACACACGCTGGGCTTTAAGCACTGGCCCAGATTGCAGAAGTAAAGAATGTGATTCAGATTAATTCGGCTCTCTTCCACAATGCCTCCCCTCCCTCCACATTTAGAAGTGTTTAAAACACGGGCAGCTTTTTAAAGTGTGAGCAGGAGGGAGGTCTTGGCACGGTCCTGCGGGACAGGATGGAGCCCGGTGTTTACAGATGCTGAACGGGTTAATAAAAGCAACAGACAAAAGCCACGCTTATTCTCGGGCTCTGCTCCGCCACTGAACGGAGCCTCTCCGTTTGGGAAAGTTCTTGCAGCCTCACCTTTGACACGCAGCGCCAGCAACCCTCCCCTCCTTTGTCTACCAGTCCATCTGCCTCATCTCAGGTTACACTCCCGGCTGATCTTCTCATAATCCAATTTAAGTTGCCATAGAGAGGGAGAGGGAGAACGTGGCGAGTCCCCAGCCCGCGTCTTTTGCCCAGAGATCATTTTGTCCCATCTCTTCTTCCCTTTTTGCCAAGTGTGCAAATTCAATTCCTCCTTGAGTGGGCGCGACAGGAGGCCTGGAAAAAACGGGCCAGGGTGCCTTCAATTCTCAGATACTCCGGGGCTGTTTCGCTCAGAAGAGAGGCGAATGAGGGGAACGCGACAGGGGTGGACAAGTGATGCACAGCGTGGACAAAACGGTGTGCAGCTGGAGTTCCTCCGGCACTCGCTGGCTTCCGCTCAGCTCGGCGCACGTCCCAAGCCAGGGCCAGGCACAAGGAGTCGTGGAGAGAAAAGGGCTGGCTCCTGGGAGGACTCTCGTGACCCTGGCAGGGAACGCCAGCAGGCTGGACAGCTTCCAAAGGGGGCTGGACAGACTGATGGAGGAAGAGGCTGTCTGTGGCTGCTGGTCCTGGCAGTTACGGGCTACCTCGGCGATCAGAGACCGTGGACCTGCGGACCAGTTGCTGGGGAACGTGGGCAGGAGGAATCCCGTCACACCCTTGTCCTGCACGAGGGACTGTGTGGAGGAGAAGGAAGCCGTGGCGGCCGCATCTCCTCCCCGCTCTCCGCACAGGCTTCTGTTTCCTCGCCACCCCACAGTCGGTTCTGCGGGTCCCTGCTCGGTCTCTGGAAATGGCAAACTTGGAGGTGGGTCTCAGGTGCTGTGGGAGGGACATGCACAGGGGCTGCCGCGTACGGACATCCCTTGTGCCATCTAGCCCAGGATCGTCAGCACTGACTGGCAGCAACAGCACCTTGGATGTTCAGGCAGGGGGAGCGCCCAGCATCTCCGCCTGCAAGCAGGTATCTTAAGATAGGTGCTATACTGGAGAGCCTGTGTGGCACAGGGGTGAACAGCACAGCTCCGGGCCTCCGGCGATCCTGGTTCCAGTCCCTGCTTGTGCACTGGGGGACTCTGGGCCAGGCACAGGCGCTCCGCCCAACCTACCTCACAGGGTAGTTGTTATGGGGATAAGTCTGAGGGCAGGAGAGGAGAAGGCACTCGGCCACTTTGCATTCCTTACGAAAGAAAATGGCAGGATAGAATCTGATAAACAAAATACAGATATATTGACCACACCGATATCCCACCTTTTCGCCCATGGAACCCAAGGTGGAAGAAATGGCCGTCCACCCAAGTTCAGGCATGCTGAGAAATGCAAGGAAGGAACTGCTCGTGGAAGTGCATCCGATGGAGCGGACAGAGCATGCCACTTGCGTCAGAGTGCGCTCGCGGTCGCCACCATTGACCAAGCTGCTTCTGCAGCCACAGGGAAAGCAGCCCCAGTGCATTCTGGGCCCTGCCCAGAACGTGGCTTCCGAGGCACCTGGCAGCACGTGCACGCACCCCTCAGCCAGAGTGCAGCACGGGGGATCCAGGAGACCTCTGATAAACCGACAACTAGCCAGCAGGGCCAAAATTGGGTTCCCTGGACGGAGAGCCGCAAACCCCTGACTGGGCACCGATCCGTTGGCCAGATCAGAGTCTAGATCTTGAAACCTTCTGCCTGACATTCCGGGCGATAGGAAAAGGAATGCTAACTGCAGAACGAGCATTCCCCGGACGATCCCTTGCTCCAGCCCCTCCCGAGCCCCTCCCTTCCTCCTCTCCCTCGAGCGGGAGCAGGAGCCCAGCTTTAAGACAAAGGAATGCTTGCTTTAGAGGTCATCCAGCTCTGGCGGGCAGCAGGCACCGCTGAAAAGAAGGCGATCTGGGATGAGAGGTGCTGTTTTTATAGACGCCTCCTCTGACGGAATGAAATACACTCACAGGCCAAGGTGAAGCGTAAAGGAAGGGCATCAACTTTCCAGGCAAACGGAAACGATAAGATCGCGCAATTAATTGAGACGGAGGAAAGGTCTTCTGTCCCAATTCATCACATAGTTTTCTTGTTCCCATTTGCCTGGAAAGAAAAATATTTGCTGCATGTGTCCACAAATCTTGGTTCCGCTGCACATCCCATCTCACTTCCCTGCAAGTTCCAGGGGGAAGACCAGGAGGTACCACGAAAAGGAGACTTCCAGATCAAGGTGTGCAGCACAGCGCTGACGGTGACACCTGCATGTGCAGGATGCCAGCCTCAGATGCCAGCCCAGCTCCTGAAATAGCAGGCGACTCTCCCTCCGTCAATTAAGTGCACGACTGTCTCAACTCCAGCTGGGTTTTGTCAAGGGATTTTTAAAAGATCACTTTTACCTTTTATTAATGGCAGGCGGAGGAAGGGCGGAGAGGAGCGGGGTTGACAACAACACAATGGAAGAGGAAGCACCTGATGGCAAAACCTCCCCCTTTCTGACAGCCCCTGCACGAAACATTTCATATCTTTCTCAGCAAAAGGCTGTGTGACAACACAAATGGTTATTTAACAAAAAATATCACCCAATATTTGATCACAGAGCGAGCAATTAGCATTGGCAAGGTTGAACTCGGATAGAGGAGGGAGGGGGAAAGGTGCTCGGGATGCATGGACGGCTTTCAAGGCACTTTGAAGCTGATCTAATTATTGCTTGCCCACCCCTTCCTCAAAGCCCCACGTGCTCGCTAGCTCTGTTGACTGAATGGCTCATCTGCAGTTCTTTTCGACAACCTGAACCATCCCACGCCCCACCCAGCCCACAAAATTTGCGGGGCAGGCTTCTCCTTTCCTAGATAAAATGACTAATTTCACCCAACATCCACTGGTCGCCTTTATCTCTCGTTACAGAAAGCACCAACCCAGTCCCAGACGAGCAGCCCAGCGTACCATGGCTACGAGAACTTGGCCATGTGCTCAAACCTTCTGTCGCTACAGATTAAACTCTGCCTTTTGTCCAGCTTCGAAGCAGAACTACCACGCCTGACTCGATCGGGGGCCGGGGATCCTAGTCCATGGGCCGGATGCCACCTGGAAGCCCTGCCCAGCCTCTCCCTTCCCCACAAAAATAACCTCTCCCTTTCCTTCTCTGGAAAGCCCCTGTGTGAGGTACCTGGCGCACCTTGGCACAGGTGTCCCCTGAGTAGCAGCTTTCTCTTAGCCATTGCAGCAGAGGGCTGCGGGGAGCCGGTTGCAAAGAAATCTGAGGTACAATCCAAAGCAGAGCCAGACTAAAACAGCCACCACCTCCAGCTATACAGGAGAAACAAAACCTTGTCCCACCCTGAACACTGCTGAACCAGATATTCTTTCTGCTTTCCTGTGGGGCTCTGAAAGTTCCGGAATCTGGAGCCAGCACTAAGAAGGCCCTGCAGTTTGTAAGCACCAATCCTGCTTCAGGCAGAGGCCGGCCATGGAGCCCAGCCTCCCTGGTTCCTGTCAGTGGGCAGCAGGGGGGTGCAGGAATAACCTGACCTCAGATATTCCTTGTCCCAAATATCCAGCTTGACAATTAATCTGGGTCAGGCCAACCTTGATTGTTCCACAAATCACAAGGACCAACCACAGTTTGCCCAACCTGGAGTTAAGATAAACTGTGGTTTGCACTACATCAAGCAGAAATCAGAGCCTGTAGCTGGCAGGGCGGCATGGGGGGAGAGAGAGGGAGAGAAGGGGAAGGCAGAGTGCAAGTCTCATTCACACAGCAGCAAGGCACAGTCAGGTGCTACTTCTGAACCAGCCACGTAAGAAGCTGCAGCGAAAGTTAAGGAGTAATTTCACCTGCCACGAATGAAAAGCCCAGGGATGCTTGAGAGACCTTCTCCATGGCAGCCCCACTTTGGGCCAATATATGGAAGTTTCCACATCGTCTCTGCACACCAGTGGTACTCATCTGCGGCACATGGACAAAGCAATTGCAAAGAATTCCTTTTCCGTTTTACAAAAACTCCCCTGCCTAGTTGAAATTTTATTTATTTGTTTATTTCCTCCAGAGAGAGCAGGGTGTTCCACTGACACCATATGAATAAGAAATGAAAACGCT